CTCCGGACTAGGTGCGTTCCTCTAAATCTTCCTACCAATATGACCATGTTGCAAAAACAAGGTCAAACAATTTCTGTATTTTTTTATTTGACAATTTTTTTTATGGAACGGGTAGAATTAGATACCGGAAGAAGCAAAGTAAGTTGTGAAGCTTAGCACTCAGAAAGTGAGCCTCATAAGTAGAAAAATGTAAGTTGATGAGAGTAAGGATAAAGGAAGCGTAAGAAGAATGTAAAAAGTCTTCATGAAAAAAGACGGAATAAATAAATAAAGAAAATCCAGTTTAAGGGAAATATTTAGGCAAGTTGAAATACAGACGTCTACCTGCAGTTTTTCGTACAACTTCTTAAGTCGCCTCGTATTCACTTCAACCTCCTGTTTGAGTGAAGTGAAATTATCTTGCAGATTGGCCATGCTGCCTGCCTCCTCCTCCATTCGGGCGACTATCTCACGCTCTCTTCGGCGCTGCTCAGCAAGCCGGCGACGTTGCGCCTCCAGTGCAGCCTCTTGTTCACGGGTTCGTTCAACAATCGACTTATCCGAACCGCCGGACAAAAGTTTGCTCTCAATGGAACGAAGCTTCATCTCCAGCTGAGCCGTCTGCTGTTGCTCTTCCTGTAGACGGCGCTTTTTCTCCTGGCGAAAGCACCGAAGCATAGGAAGGATACACCATCGGACATGTGGCCCATATTACGAAACCGAAGTAATGGTTAAAATATAAAAAAGGGTGGGATAGTCGCCCGTAAACATTGATTAACGAGAGCGAATATTTCATTGTCTTCTAAGTACTTTGAGCTATGCCTACAGGCTCCGTAAGTATGCATACACATGAAGATGCATAAGCACACACAGACAGATATGCGAATATGTTTATAGATTAAAATATGACTTGAACTAATCACATCATTGTATGCGTGATCAAATTCCATTGAGCTATGGTATACATACAGCTTTTATGGATTAGACAAAGATTTGGCCTGACTTATTAGTTTGAATATTGCTGTAAAAATAATACTCTGTTCTGATGATGTCCTTCATATGACAGACGAAAGCTTAGCATGTTTTCTTCGGAATCGAAGATGATTAGCTCGGATACAGCATCAATAAAGATTTTAATCAGAGCCAAACGGCAGCTGGTTAGGAAGAATCCATCGTCATCTTTTGATTGCATCAACCTTCGAGTCTC